AGTGGGTTGCCATGGGCTACCATGTGTAGCCAGCAGCCAGCGTGAGCGGCCAGCAGCCGCAGTGAGCGGCCGTCCAGAAGCCGGCGACTGATCTGTCTCACCCCGGAAGAGCGCAATGATGGTGCCAACTTGGGCAGGTGACGCAACGTCCTCTACAACTAGACTGAAGAACAAAAGGACAGAAACTTGTCTGTTCCCCTTCCCCTAATTCCCCAGCACTGTTCCCATCCCCCCAATTCCCCAATAAAAAAATCTTTAAAACAAAAAAAACTGCACTTTGCATAGGTCTTGGCTGAATTAAATGTATGTATCTCTAGGGCTCTGTCAGCCACTCTGAGGACCTCTGAAATAGTATTTTGGATGGCAGACCACTAAGATGACAGCTACTCACACTTTCAGGTAGGCCTGGGCAAACTCACCTGCCTAGACAAGGCACGCTTACAAACCCAACTTTCTTCTCAGAGAGCAAACATTGATGGGCATAACGGATTCGAGGCAGGATAGAGGACACTCATTTAAGCTTACAGAAACTGATGAAAAATGAACCAAAAGGAGCTCACTAAAGGATGAAGGTGCACAGCTACTTAGAACTTATCTGTGTGGTTACGCGCAGGTCAAAACCAAGGCTCAAAGATTTGTCAAGATTTGAGCACCTAATCCTACTTATCATTGGCGAACAGTCTGTCTGTCATTCAGCTCCTGATCTCATGGCACTATAAAAAGATAAAAAGCAAATTTCTTGAATATTAAAACTCTGTCCCGTCTAAAACTTTTGTACAACTTTGTCGATGTGCAGCTCTGATTTTATCATTCAGCCTGGTCTGTAAATTTAGCCAAAATGTTGGGAACTGAAATTAATAAACTAAAAAACAAAATGTTTATCATAAAGGAAATGAAGAAAGTGGTATAGGGAAAAATATTTACTTGGGTTGTTATGGCAACAGAACAAGCCATCACAACAACATTCTTTCTTTTCCATCTGTCAGACTTTGGCTTGGCAGAGCCTTAAGAAACACTCAATGTCCACCCTAAAGATCAAATGGAGCAAAAATGTTATTCTACATTTGATAGATTTTTGGCTCAACTTAAAACCCTTTTATAACTCATACAGTATTTGCCACAACTTCCTGCTATTTCCTCTTGCAATAGGCAGACTCACTCGCGATGATGAGTAAATAAATTGTGTGGTGGGGGGAGGGTGCTGGTGGCAGTGAGGACAGGCTTGAGGCAGGCTAAGGTCCACAACAGGATGTCACAGGGCCGCTCGCTGAGTGTGTGGCATACTCTGCTCTCGTGTGCTGCTCTGTGGTATTGACAACATCGGGGCTACAGACGGAAATCAGAAGAATGAGGAGGTGAGCTTCCGCTTCTAGCTGGACAGGGCTAGAAGCTGGTGCGCGTGCAGCGGGTCGAGAATTGTGCCAAGGTGATGGGGATGGAAGCGCCAGCTGGAACTTATGCTGAAGGCTTTCTTCAGAGGCTTTTCCGGGTCAGACAACTGGCAGCCAGCCACGGGCTCCCAAGCCCGAGTGCCACGGCCTGGCCAAAGAACCCTCAATTCCCTATAGCTATTTTCCCAGAATTGCGACAGAGCTAGGTAGACACGGAATCCTAATAATAGGACCTATCTGACCGAGTTGTGAGAGCCTGAAAGAACACAGGTCAAACCTTCTGAAGAACCTGGCCCGGAGGCAGCATTCCAGCTGCTGTCATTCCCATCAGCCCCCTCACGCTACATGTGTTCTTCTCTTCTGGCCTCGGAGCTCCGTGGGCCTTTTACAAATTTATTTTTTCACCTCCTCAGGTCTGCTTGGAACTAGTGTTGGATGGAAAGACAATTTATTGGGCAAGAGAGAGAACACTCTGAGCTATTTGTAACAGGAAAAGCACGGGCTGCCTCTGGGGACGAGACCCTAGTTTCTTAAATGAGGAGGCCTAGGGTCAATTGCTGAGGATGTTCGGGGTCCCTCCCTACTCCAGGAAGGGGTGATGTGAGAGGAACACACAAGTCTGAAAGCTGTAAAGGGCAAGAAGTGTAATGGAGGTATTTTCCACACACCGCACGCGTGCACGCAATCATTCATCACTGCACCGTGGCCTGGCTCTGGCCCCAAGGAGCACATCCAAATGAGCCACATTCCTGCTGCCTTCTCCCATCTCCTCGGGGCCCCACACCCGGCAGCTGCTGCAAAAGTGGGCAATATGTGCCCTACGGCGAGACCCGCTGACAGCAGCCACACCTGGCATTTTACCCCCTCATGGGTGTTTGCTGTTGAAAAGACGAAAGCACTCAGGACAGAGTGCCAGGCATCACGGAAGGTGGGGTGAGGAGAAAAACCCCAAAGTCCCTCCAATCAGACCACAGCGGTGCCTGTCTCCTCCACAAAGCTGCCCCAGCAGGCGGTTGGGGCTGGGGCAGGGTCCATTCACAGGGATGGGTGCCCTCATTTTCCGTTGTCTCTGATTCTAGCAGCTCTGTGGGAGGGGCTACCCTGATGTGCAGCCTGTCAACCCAGAAATCTGTCCAGGGACCAGGCAGAGGTGGACAAGTCCCCTCCCAGATACCTCTGTCCGAAGCACTTGCACGTGTCTTGGAGCCCCCGGCCTCTGACACCAGCCCCCTGCTGCACCTCAGGGAGGGATGCATTTGTCTTTGAGGAAGCTCTCTCCATTTCTGCTCCCACCTTCTCTTTCATTGTACATTTTTTTTTGGCTGAGCCATCCTGCCACCTGTTGGCAACTGAGTGGCAGCTCAGCTCAGGCTGGGAATCAAACTGGCGATCCTGTTGCTCGGAGCTCACACTCTTGAGTGAGCTCTTAACCAACTGAGCCACTCGGCCGGCCCTCTTTCACTGTACTTTGATAAGATGACTAGATAATGCTTGCTGTTCTCCTTCCTGGGAGCCTGGTAGGGCGGGGGTGGGTCCCTGATTGGCCAGCTTCTCTCCAGCCAGGCTATCTCCTCAAACATGTCTTCAGGCAGGACCCTCCCAGAGCCTAACTTCTTTAACCCAGCAGCAGGGAGCTGTTTGCCCCCATCACGGCCCCTGGTGGGCAGGACGTTTGCTCCCCAGCCTTCAATTCTTGCCTACGCTTTTCAGACATCATTCTTTCCCCTTCCCCAAAGCCACGCCTGAGAATCCACACGAGAAGACAGTGGGGCATGGAGTGGGGCTGCAGAGAACACAGATCGTTACCAGAGCGCTGATGAAATCCGATCCTGGTCACTGCGGGGTTATTACTCATCCTTCACTTCCAGGGCCCCAATCTTGAGAACTCTCTGGTCTGAATTCCCCAGGGCCCAGGGAGCTTGGAGAGCTGCCCAGCGCCCAGCACCAGCGGCAGCCTCCGAGACAGGGCTTGCTTCCTGAGCTGAGAAAAGGGCCCGGGGAGTACAATACTGATGCTAAAAGTGAAGAGCTAGCTGAAAACAGGGTGGGGGCAGGCCGCGAATAGCCAAGTGGCTGCTGCCCAAAGGGGCGCATCATCAGGGTGACCATTTGGGCCGGGCGGGGGAGCGGGCTGGATTCCATCTTGTACCACGCCTGCTGATGAGCTAGCTCCACGTTCAGACATCGTGTCTTTTCCATTCTTCTTTCCCTTTTCTCCTTCCTCCCTTTTGTTTTCCAGAGTTGAGAGGCGTATTTCCTCTCCAAACCACAGTTCTTCAATTTCTGTGTTCTTGGCATTTCTTCTTTCCAGATGCACTCTTCGGCTGGCCTCATCCGCGTCTCCGGGCCGGCTGGCCCTTCTCGGGCCGGGCCCCACATCTCAGCTCTTCCTGGAGCTGCAGCAGTCACTTGTGCCTCTGCCCTCCATTCCAAAGCGAAGGAGGCTCTGCTTCGGTGTTTTGTAATGATGAAAATGCCAGGAATTCTTTTTAGAAGTTCAGAATTACCCCAAATCCCTACCTGCATTCCGTCCAGACCCTCTCTGATCTGTGACATGACCCTTGGAAATCACTGAATGTGACCATTAGGGCGTGGGGGGCATCCTACTGGGCAGTGTGTGTGTGTGTGTGTGTGTGTGTGTGTGTGCATGCACGAGAGCGAGGGAGGGAGGGAGGGAGAGAGGGAGAGATAGAGAAAGAGAGAGAGAGAGAGAGAGAGAGATTCTCTGTGACTGACTTTAACGCTGAGAGGAAAGGGTGTGCTCTTTAGCATGAACCCGGCCCCGTCCCTCTCAGAAGCAGTGGACCAAAAGGGTCCAGGAACCAGGCCCTGTCCACCTCTGCGGGCTCCTCATCGCCTACTCTGCTTTCCTCTCTCTGCTCAGCCTCCATCTCCTGCCCTTGCACAGACAGCTCCTTTTGTCTCAGACTCAGGGGTTACTCACCTGCTCTGGGCGTCAGTGCCCTCCTCAGCCTGCAGGGCACACCGCCTCTAGCGAGCCCTCGCAACGTGGTACTGGGGGGGTGGTCTGTCCCCTCCTCTGTCCCCCTGCTGGGCTGACAGCTCCTTGAGGACAGCTCTGTGTCTTTCCCCATCCCCCAGCACGAGGTGGAGTGCCCAGCACTGAGCAGGAGTGAAAAGATGCCAGCTAAGCGTTGCAGGAGCGCAGCACACCCACCTGGCCGTGTGCCACGGCTGTGCTCACAAATCTCCTCTCATCACCCACTGACTCACACTCTCATCTCAGGCGAGCTTCCTGGGTAATCCCCTGACCTCTGGACTTGGAATAGTCCCGGGCGGCCTGTCATTCAAACACTTCAGCGGAAGGAGCTGAGCTTGGTACCTGAGCTTGTCTGCGATGAAGATGACCCTCCTTTCCAGGAGAATGGAGGCAAAAACACAGAGCAGGTGACGGACGCTGAGAGAAGAGAAGAGAGACTCAAAGTCCACGTGTTCGAGCCGGGAGTCCAGCGGGCGGCACAGTTCGATCACCTGCCGGGGAACAGGAGCAGCCGTAAGGAGGGCCTGGCCTGCTCGGCCAGGCCTTGCTGATGGGGACCCATCATCCCCAGCAGGGGTGGCCCAGTGGCAGGGACAAAGCGAAAGGAAAAAATGGGAAACAGGAGGGACTGGGAAACGGGAAGGAACCCAGGAGACTGGGGAGGAGGCACAATTGTAGGGAAGTTCCTGCCTCACACTCAACTAGGTGACTGAGGACAGTTTGGATGGAGGTGGGGACAGGGGATGGCAGAAGCGGTGGCCCTTGGCCCAAAAGGGCCCCAGGCTCTCGCTGGCAATGACATGTCCTGGCTCCCAGGGGAGTTCTATGGCTGTGGAGAAAGTGCTGTCCCTCAGAGCCCCGCAGACAAGCGTCTCTGTCTCACGAGGCATTTCACCTGCTGGAATGGACCACAGGCTCAGGCAGAAGGACCAGCAGACCCGAGAAGCAATTCCCCGTCTGGCCTCATCTGGAAGGCGCTTCTTAAGGAGCCCAGCCCCAGCCCCAGCCCTTCCTGACGTGATGTCTTCCAGTTTGTGCTGAGTGTGTCTATCTTCTCATTCCGTACTTGCTGAAATGTCCCTGAATTCACCTCCCATCGCCACTCACGTGCATGTTTTTTCTCATTGAGTAGCTGCCTCCTTACAGGGAGTGGACGCTGGTTTTTACTCTCAGCCCTGCACCTGCGCACTGCTGCACACAGCGGGGCTCACCAGAGCTAACGTCCCCACGATCGGGCCGCCTGCATCGGGTATGGGATGGTTCTCCAGCCACCGGGAGACTGCTGCTCTCCGTGCTGAGAAATCAGGTTGTTCCAGAATACCCGAGAGCCATCCTCCTCCCTTCCCGTCTCCACAGGTGACCTGCTTTTCCGAGGGCCTTCGGAACTAGAGACTCAGGACTGGGTGGGCTCTGCCTTGTGAGGCTCACAGAGCCACATAAGGGGAATGAGAAGAATGCAAACAAGCTCCTGCATCAAATCCCAGCCCAGCCAAGGACGGGGACATGCTTCCAAGGCTGGGGTGAATAGAAAGTAGTACCTGAGCTTGTCGTCCCTGAAAAGAATCTGTTTCACATGATGGTTACAGATGTGATGCAGACCCCAGACATAAACAGGATCATATACAATTTAGGAATGTAAGTGGCTACTAAGGGGAGCCAAGGATGTTCAGTGCAGGCCCCTAACTTGTGAGGCCAACCTCATGCAAAGAAACACCACGGGCTGCTGTTGCATTATAGCCAATTCCGTTACCACCCCCCCTACACTAGCCTCTGACCCATTAGTCGAGAAAGTGTCTCGGAAAACTGAGGCCGGATGGAATGATATCTGTCAAGCTCTCTCGGGGAGTGTCTCAGGTGACTGGGACCTATTGGAATGATAATAGTTATCTCC